AAAAAAAAAAAAAAAAAAAAAAAAAAAAAAAAAAGAAACACTGAAACAGCAACCACCATACGTGCTGTTATTCGGAGCATTTCAACCTAGTAGTAACTCCTCCGTCTTTCAAAAATAGCCATAAATTTTGGTGTAGAAATGCCAAAAATGGCGCAGATCTCTTTCGTTCTGACCCAAATATTTTCATGACCTGTTAATGAACGGAAGAACCCAGAAGAATGTTTTACCTTGAAAATCGTTTTAGAAAAAGCTCAATTGCCGCCAGTAACATTGGAACTACAGAAACTAGACTATTTTTGAAATCAGCACAGCACACCTCACGGGGCTTACACTCCCACCAAACATCAACAACTTACTTGTTTTTTGGCCCGGAGTGCTGCATCTTCAAGAGTTTCTGCTGCTTCATATTTGCCTTGTCGTCTGTATAACGCTCCGAGATTTTTTAATGTGGTGGTGACCGTTGGGCTGGAACAAAATCTTGGTAATGCTAGGACCACCAATGTGAAGCACTGGGGTGAAAAACTGCCTATTATGCAAAAGTGAAAAATCGAAATATAATAAGAAAGCATACCGCTTCACAGAAATTTCACAGCTTTGATAATTTAAACCAGAGAAATTGCCTCATAACTACTTTCCACACCCGGCTGCTTACAGTTTCCACTTGCTCCAACCCATACACGTTCGAAAGAAAAGCAAAAAAAGCGCCCTAGCATTCGAGGAGCAACTTATTACCTATCAACTTTTGCAGCTTTATGCCATCCGCCATATTCTTGATACGTGCTTGTGTCATCACCTTTATGTTTATGTTCTTCACGATCTTCAGCAATCTGCCAAATTGGCTTGTTATCGTCGGCTATCTTACCAAATTCACGCTCATGCGCTCGAGTCAGTATCTGCTTGTAAAGAATTTCCGCGTCCTGAAAATTCGACAGCATGTAATAACCGTACCGATGATGCTCAGGTTTTTGAGATTTTGCCAAAAAATATGGCAGCAAAAGGAGTTCGGTCAAAAGAAGCAACAGGGGTCTGTAGAAAACAACGGACATCGCTTCATATCAGTTCTCAAGAGCGACCGCTCTCTCTCCTCTCTTTCTGCCCTTCCTCCTAGTTCAGTAAATACGTTTCGCATCCGTATGTCGCTACTTTCGATAGACTGTTATAGTGTAATATTTTGATAATACCAAGGCCGCTGCAGAATTTGTGCCAGTTGGCAGTTTTCCGGTGTACAATCCCGACTATCTTTAAGCAGAACTCTGGCCTAGTTCAGCCCGCAGCATTGGCAGTTCTTTATGTAAACACAAATCCAAACTGTACCTTGTATTTGCCTTGTTTGAGATAAGCAGATGAGAGATTGTTCTTGGTTTTCGCCACATTTGGATCATCAGGGCCTAATTTCGCTTCATAGATCTCAAGCGCTCGCTTATAATACCGTTCAACTTCATCATATTTGCCTTGATTTTGACAAAGCAAAGCAAGATTGTTCAGCTGTTTTGCGACATCCGGATGATCTGCACCAAGCACCTAAAAGTTAGTACCGGAGGTATAATAAATTAGAGAGGAAGCACACGGACTGAGGAAGTAAAACAAAAAAAAAAGTCCAAAACGTACATTTTCACGAATTTCTAGCGCTCTCTTGCACAGCGGTTCAGCGTCCTTATATTTGCCCCGTTTTCCGTACAGTACGGCAAGATTGTTTAGTGTTGCGGCAACAGCAGGATGACTTTCACCGAGACATTTCTCACGGATATGCAGCGCTTCGTTCAGCAAATTTGCTGCTTCCTTATACTTGTTTTGGTCACTGCGAAAAATGTGATTTTCATTATAACTGCTTCTTATAAAAATAAATTTTAAAGTTTCGCTGTTCGTTTGTCAAATTGATTGGCAATTTTTTTCCGGCCTAAATTTCATTC